ACTTTGAGCACTTGACCCACTTCGTGTTTAACTGGCTTCACTATAGTTCCGCCTTGCTTATGGCATTACATATCGAATACTGAAGGAGTGTTTAATAAAACATCCTTGGCTTTTTTTTTTCCCCAGTTAATTTACATGAAACTGTTTTTAAATTGTTTAACCACCTTAAGGTTAATTAAATTTTAAGGTTTTGTCCTTGTACTCAGGCTTGGATGCACTTAAATCCTGAACAGGGACGTTGAGGGTGTTTAGTAGGCTGTGAACATCCTGTGTCAACTGGGAAATTATTGATCATTCAGCTGTCCTTAAACCTTTTAGAATAAACCCTCTGAATGAAAAGAACCTACAGTAAATACCTTTTCAGTGTAGTTCATGCCCATGTGTATTCTTTTTGGTAGTGCCTGAGATACTTGCTAAAAACTGAACCGGAACAGGGAGAATCATGATAGTTTGCTCTTCCTGACAGCTTTCTGTGCTTCTATGAATGATTTATGGTAAACATAAGAGTACCTCCCCTTTCTGCTTTCACAAAGGAAAAAAAAACAACAAACAAATTTGCTGGGCTTCACCCATCCACTGTTAAAGTAGAGTTTCAAAGTTTTGCTTTTCCATTTTAACAGAATTAAAGAAGTGTGTTTTGCCAGTAGTGGCATGATTTGACAGGTGCTCAAAAGCACACACCCTCAGTGGTTTGTGTTAGCAGCTTTCAACTTTGAGTTGTAAGTATATGAAATCACTCCTGTCTGTGGGGAAAAAGGCTGAATATATACAGCACTTTGATTGTAGTGTAGGTGAAAATGAGTTATAAGGAGGAACAGTTCTTGATATATTTATCTTGACTAGATGGCAGAATTGTGTTCCTTTGGTGCTCTCATCCAGAAAAGTATTGCTAAGAGAATGTAGCTCCTTTGGATCTTTCCTGATGAAATGATGGGATGTCTTGAAAGTTTGATTTGAGACTTAACAAATATTTAGTATTTCCTGTTTGCTGGCACAAGCACTGAAAACATGCATATGATGGCAGTTTCCTTAGGAGTGATTAGGAACAAGTACAAGTACTTTCTGTGCTGGTATCTCTTTAAACAGCAGAGGATTGAGTGTAGTTTTTCTTCTAGCTCTTCTAAATTAATGACTTTGCATGACTGTACATTGAGGGTGTAGGGTGCTGTGCATATAATAACTATATACAAGTATTGTTTAATTGCTACAGTTGACATTGAAATGAGCTGCAGATTGTTTCTTGAGATGTCACTGGTTTTTATTTTGTGCTTTCATCATCTTGATTAAGATCTTAAAATACAGCTGACGGTCACCCGAGTCATGGCATGTCAGGTTAGGTTTTTTGGAAAACCAGTTCACTCAATCAGTTTGTCTTTCTCTGTGATTTAGGGTAATGGTGCAGGTCATCTAGAAGTGATTTATCTCACCAGTTTCAAAGGGTATTCTCTGTTCAAACTAAAGCTTCTTGAGTATTTCTCAGAAAAAATCATAGAAACATCCGAATGTGTTTTGCTCAAACTGATGTCATCTGAGACTCCTATGCTGAGGAAAGTGTTGTCTTCATTTTGGTGACATGCAGTGAACCTAGTAAAAATATCTACAGGTCTAAAAACTGCTCCCAAACTGGTCCAGCTGAATTTTGCCACTCTTCCTCTCTACCAGCCTTTGCATATGAAAATAAACTCTTTGGCAGCCCACTACCTATAGAGGCAGATGCCATAGTAAGTAGACATCTAAGGAGTTGGGTGCAGGAGAGCTTGCATTGATGAGGGTGCTTCCATTGATGGTACAGTTTTTGAGGAGAAGTTGAGAGGTAGAGGCTGACCCTCTCAGGAAGGAGTTACAAGTGATACTAATAACCAAATCCTGAGCAGCAAGAATAAGACTGATTTAGGTGTACTTAGGAGAGATTTTAATAAATGTTAGTCATTATACAAATAGTTGTGTAGATAAGTACTACTTTCTCCCTCTTGCCTCCCCACTGTTCCCACCCCCAGCCTTCTTTGGACTGAGCTTTAGCTGGTTTGGTTTTGCCTTTCAGTGCAATCAGTAAAGCAGGGTATAATTTCTTCTATCTCTAAATATCTAAGTGGGTAAAAATCCATTAGTAGCAGATACAGTGTTCTTCCTGTTAAAATGTGAAATCAGGTTTTCATTTTTGTGTGTGTATGCCTACTAGTGTTTGAAAAATTGAAACAGGTCCGGTTTGATTGAAAAAGGTCTGATCTCTAGAAAAAAAGAAAACCAATGCTAAACCCCCTCAAATGGCTTCCAGTAAGTTTTCTCTTGATGGCAGGAAGAAGTCTATCCTATATGCAGGCATTCCCTTCCCTTGTGAGATACGTTTGTCTCATTTCATAGTTGTACTTCAGAGATAAATGGCAATTGATGGACTGTTCTAATTATTAATGCTTTGAGAGAGAAAGCTTGCTGCTCAGCTGCTCCTAGCACTTCCAATCAAAGTGTTTTCCAAAGAGTGCTTAATTTTTTCCTCCATCATAACAGGCGCCAGTGAAAGTGTGGGAAAGCATATGCTTGAAGCATGCAACAATAATCTGGAGATGGCTGTCACCATGTTTCTGGATGGTGGAGGCATAGCAGAGGAACCTAGCACCAGTTCTGCAGGGGTGTCTGCTGTTCGACCACACACGGAGTATGTACCTGGTGAACATATCTGTAAAAATGATTATTCTGTCATAAGAATTTAATAATGTAAGGCAGAAAAAATAAGACAATTGCCACTTCTAACCTGCTGTCAACTCACTGTAATACATGCTGCTTTGATGATGTTGTTACATTTAATTGCTCCAATATTGTTCTGGGTAAACAGGTTCTTACTACGTTAAGTTGGTATGTAGACTAACATAAGTTGGTCTCTCATATACTTAGAAGTTTTCTGTTGCTTATACATACTTTTTTCTGCAAACAGAGCTCAAGACATTGAAGTTGGGGATCCCGTAGCAAGAGATTTGTACTTTTAAATTGCTCCAGTGATCTTGCTTTACATTAATTTGGCAGTTAGAGAGTTCTGTTGTGTTGTTTCTTATAAAAGTAGTGACCTTAGTCCCACTTGTAAGGGTTTTATGGTGTTGGTGTAAAGTGTAACCAGATTTGGCACTGGGATGGCTAGATTGTGTACACTACTATGCAGAGAAATAAGCAACTACAAAATTTGCATCAGTGGCTTAACATCAGATGCCAGTAAAGGGAAGAGTTGTTCCACTTGAGCATGGCAGAGACTCTTTCAGTGCTGCCTGTTCAATGTGGCTGCTTGGGATAAATGGAGTATTTTGAGTGAAAGCTAATTGGTATAAATCACATTCAATAAATGTTCTAAATTAAACCCAGCCATGCTTTTGTCTTTGTGAAAATCTTCCACTTCAGGAAAAAGACAACTACCTTGTAAAGAAAATTTTTGCCACTCATGCTTCCGAAGCATGTGTACAAATTTAAACAATTATTTTAGGACTAACCTTTATAGTTGGTGTCACGTGCCTCCCTGCTTGAGCCTTGACAACTTAATGAAGTTAAAACTATCTGTAGGTGTTAAGAGTTCTTATTTCTAGGCAACCTCTGGTGCATCAGAGACTTAGGATTCAAGTTTTTATTGGAATACTTTAGTGTTACTTCTAGGAAGAGAGAACTATAAATACATAAATGCAAAAGGGAGTATAACTAGCTTCACAACAGCAATCAAAGATATGGAGGTTAATAGCAAGGTTAGTGCATGGGTGATCCGTGCCCTCCTTTGCCTATTTCCGTGGTCTGAGTGACCACACTGAGTAAGTAAGACTATTTTGGAGCCCTTGTGATTTCCTTTCTTCTCCTAGTCTTAATATCAGATCATCTAGCAGTCTCTGCAAGCATAACTAAGCTTCTTGATATGTGAGGGACCCCAGCTGTGTAAGCAAAAATTGCTTCAGAAATGTGGGGAAATTTCTGTTTTGATCATGCTGTTTTCTCTCCTCTGGAAAAGAGAGGGCTGTGAGTTTCAAGTGAAAGCAAGAAGTCTTAGAACAGAAGAAAGCTGGTAATAAGGAAGATAATATTTTTTTTCTCTATGTAGATAATCAGGGAAGAGGCTGGCAAGTGGATCAATTAGCAGCCTTTGCTAAGTTATTAAGGAATTAAAAATATTTAAATAATAAATTGGCAAAGCCTGGTCCCTTTTGACATCAGAACTTTTGATTCTGTGCAATGGTACAGCTGCATCCTTAGCTGGTTTGAATTGCAGGAGCCTTTTGAGTACAGTGGGTTGTGGTTTATGTACTTGGAGTATTATAATCATTCTGATTTTTTAAATTTGGTTTTTCCTTCCCACTTCACAGGGATGAAGTACGAGCTCCAATTCCTCAAAAACAGGAAATTTTAGTAGAGCCTGAGCCCTTGTTTGGAGGTAGGCTTGTGCTCTTGTTTTTCTTCTCTTTGCCTTGAAATAAGTGACAAAAGAAAAACAGAACTTGCTGAATATGAAGAAAGCATTGATGTATTTTTACTCTTGTTCTTTTCCCTGGTGCAACTCTGCAGCCATGTAACATGATTGCCTTCTTAGAAGTAACACCAGTGTTACGGAAAACTTCACACATCAGAGATGCTGCATTCCCAGTGGTACAAATCTGCAAACTCCTGTTTCATGAGACTTTGTGAGGCAACAGCCAATTAGCTGTGCAAGTCTACGTCTGTGTTCTGTGGTTCAGAACCATGTGATACTGCTGTGAAAGTGAAGTTTTCAAGCTGGTGGGGTAAAAGATTGAGCCTTGACTGATAAGTGAAAATGAATAGGACAAGTGCATGCTTCTCGGGGAGATCATAATTCAGGAAAAAGGGCTGAACTATATGATTAGTCATAATTTTCTCCATTCCTCATTTAGGAATTTAATTTGCTCTTTAAAGTGCATCATGCAGCTAGTTTTCTTGTTTGTTTTCTGAAAGTGTTTATCACTTTTGCTTTTGAAACCCTTTTTCTTTTTTCTCCCGCTCCCCTCCCCTGCCAAGGGAACAGATGATAGAAATGCTGTTTTCTTTTATATTAGTGCTTATCTAAAACACTCTTTAGTGCTCATGGTAATACACTGAACCTCAAAACCTCAATCTCAAACCTCTGCTGGAGTGGTTCTTTTTCAGAAGCATAGGGGTGGAACTTCTGTAGCAGGACTGGATTACCCAGTACATTATCCTCTCCTTTTGTGTAATGTCTGTATGGAGATCTAAGGCGCTCTTTTTCTATGCTTTCTTCCTCTAGCCTTGTGAGGCTCTGTCCTTCTTCTCATGTTAACCAGGCTATTTCTGCCCATCTGTGTGGCTTTTGCCATGTCAAGTGAATTTAGAGCCTTGCCCTTTTTACCAAGGAAAGGCATGCAAACACTCATATTTGAAGTGGTCTTATAACCATAGGAGATGCTCTTTTCTATTGTTCAGTTTTTGTGCTAGAAAAGAGGAGGAGGTGAAGCTTCAGGTTTACCCTGGAATTGGTTTTCTCTTATCCTTTTTTTTTCAGCATGAGAAAGGTCTTTAGCTGAGATGCACAAGCTGAGAGGTGGTTCCAGAGGAAAGTGCCCTGCTGAGGGCTCTCTGAAGACAGTACACTTGTTCCTGTGGTCCAACAGAGCTTTTGACAGAGGTCTTTAGACTCCTGTGGGTTCAAGAATCTAAGAAGTGCAGGATTAAGATCTGATGACTCTAATGCTTGGTCCTGTTCTACCCACCTGTCACACACTGATCTCTGACATGCTCACCACCCAACTGAAGAGATCTGTGGATAAGTGATAGTCGGTACTATCAGTGCTAATAGGCTCAGTATTGCTGCTTGTGTTTATAACAAGCTAGCTGAAACTGGAAAGGCACTTCACTTTGTCTTTTCAGTTCTAAGCACAGGGAATGTGCCAGTTTCTGTGTCATATTGAGGTGGTTTTCTGAGCTTAGGATTTCTTCCACTCGAAGAGATGACCTTGTCTGCTTGTGCTCTGCCAGATACATGATCCCATCTTGCAGTACAAAGGATACCAGAAAAACACAGAATCATAACATCTGCCTGAACTGCAGTGAAATTCTTCACCAGCACTGCCATGCTGTAGCCAGGCCTGGCAAGGGAAACGCTGCTTTTGCTGAAGTGGTCCCTCAGTTGCTATTCTTACCTGCTGTTCAAGTTGCTCCACAGTTGGCTTTAATGAGCTGTGCTTGTGCCTAAGCATTTAGAGCTGAAAGAGATGTTACTAACTGGAGTTAAGTATTATTCACAAGCATGTTCCTCATTTGGGCTTACTTTCTTTTTCCATGATAATCTGTATGGGATACACAGATTCTTTCCTTTGTACTCTGTACAGGAAGAATGCAAGGAAAAAAGAACTGTACACCATTCTTTATGCCCTTGGTGTGGCACAAACTGAAAGATGCTGCACACAGTATGGGTGCAAAACCACAAGGGTCTCTAAAATCAAGTTTTGGAGATACTTGCTTTGTAACTCTTGCATAGGTCATGCTTTCTCACTGTAAATGGATTTTTTGTAATACAGGTTTCTGTTGGGTACACATTGCATTTATCTTGAATTTGTTCATTAATTATTATGTCTTATTATGTATTTGAAAGTTCTACCTTAAAATTGTTCTCCTTTCAGTTAATAGTGGTGCAGATGAATAGTTGGAATAAGTCCTGGCAGGCAGTTCTGTTTGCATTCCAAGTGCAGTGGTTGTGCTGTATGGAAGAACTTCAGTGATACCTTTAGGTACTATTCCAGTTATCTTCCTGGGCCACTCTCTCTGTCCAGCTGCAGTTCTGAAGGTTTCCTTGCAGATAGTGATGCTGGATCCAATGGACTGTGGCTGTTGCCAGTCCAGCCAAGAAGTTTGGACAGGATCTAAATAAGAGATCAGTAAAGAATAGAAGCACGCTGTGAAAAAAACTCCAAATATATTTCCTAATAAAGAAAATACTCTCATACAGGGTTTAATCCTTCAAAGCTTTTTTTTCATCTACTTGAAGGCCTTTGCTAAAAAATCTTGAGTGGAATTGTGACATGTTAATGCTGTGGCAGCACTGCGCTACATACTGATGGGCTTTGATGAGCCTATCAGAAAGGGCTGAATTTAAACTTTGGTGTATTGTTAATATGTGTTTCGTTTCTGGGGTGAGGTTTGCTGGAGGGAGGATGTGTTAGAAAATAGGTCTTATAAACACTCTATTTCCATCTTCCACCAGCCCTTTCTAATGACCTTGCTCCCACATCATTCATGCTTTGGGTTCCTGTTCTGTTCTCCCACACATGTGATGGAAAGTACTAGTATGCAATTATTTTGATAATATGCTTCTGAAATAACTCTTGCAATATGTTTTTTTAAGCTCCTAAAAGACGCAGACCTGCGCGCTCAATATTTGATGGCTTTCGGGATTTTCAGACAGAAACCAGTAAGTGTTTACAGATCTGTAAGCTAGAGTTTGGTTTTGTTTTTTTAATGCAAATAAGATTGAAAAATAGTTTCTGTTGTAAGTTGGGACAGCTTTCAGTTGTTGAACATTTTTTAAATTGCCTACTGTATAGCAAAAGTGTGTGGTATTTTAGGAACATTGTTAGGATGTTCGTTGTTGTAGTGTCAGTACTGTTTGCTGACACTCCTCTTCCACATTTGTGGTACGGTTAAGGTTGTTAGGTTTTTGTTCTAGGGTGGCTAAGAGTACTGAGTAATGGACACATGAAGCAGGTAGTAAGGGTGCAGCTCCAAACACTTTCCTGTGTTACATAAGTAAAACCTACACACAGTGTATTCTGGCTGCTTTGGTGTAGCAGATATTTTCTTGACAACTCTGAACAAAATTATTTTTCTGCTCTCGAGGGCATTGAAAAGGGGGAAGAATCTAACACCCATGTAGAAATTAAGTTCATCCAGTAAATTTTTCTTGGCTAGCCAGTGGTCATTCTGGCATTGGAATTGTATTTGAGTAGCCCTGAGGTGGCTTCCTTGGCCACACACAAGGTTCTCATGCATTAAATTGCGTTTAACAGACTGTCAGTCTGCTCATATGCAGAATCTTCAAATGACAAAGCACTGGCTGTTATTTAAGCCATTAAGCTTCACAGAGTGTGATTCTTTAACAGCAGAACAGATGTTTCACAACTGAGTTAGAGCTGTTGTGCAGTTACTGTCACCAGTGTTGCTGGAGTGCTCAAGAGGTCTAACCATGGACCAGGTTCCCATGGTGCTGTTGGATGCTGAATTGAAAGTAAGTGTTCATAATTACTTTCTTTCCCCTGACAGGTTTGATCAGAGTTTTCCAGTAATAATGAACTTGACGAGTGCTAAAGCTACTGGCAGCTGTGTTAATGAAAATACACCATTTATAGAGTCATTATACCCTTAGATTTTTTCTCATCATCTCCACTCATTTAGAGATGCGCAATATGTCAAGTCATTGTGAGGGCTTATGATGAAACTTAGTCATGCCTTTTGGTAAAGTTTCATAGATAAATGTCACTGGCAATCTCTAAAAAAGTGGTGCTGGCCATGAAAGTCCAGATTATTTCCTGGCTGTAGGCCTCCTCCACAGAGATGCTTTTTCCCTGTGAAATCCAGAGCCTGCTCAAAAATGGGTTGTATGTTATCGCCTGTCACAGCTCCTTTCACTACTGGAAAGCTTGTGGTTGTGGGATAGTTATTGCACATTTCAGCTGTCTTGGTTCCATATAAAATACATCATATCCATGTATTTTTAGGTAAGCAATTGCTGTGATTTACCTTTATTGCATATGGTCATGTCTATGTAGGAAATATGTTCTGTATTATTTTTGAATGGAATTGATAGCACTAAAAGAAACATGCTCAAAGTGTGGTTCTTGGGGATAAATAAGGCTGTAAATCTGTTCACCTGAAAAAAGACAGTAGTATAAGTCATGGCTGCTTTTTTTTCTCATTGATTTTAAAATGCTGGCGTATGACCTTTGCTGATACTCACATTTATTAAGATGATCTTTGAAAGTGAAATAAAAGCTCAGTGCTCCAGAAAGTTAGGGCAAGTGAGGTTCTTCCCTTACATAGCAGCTAATCTTGTTCAGTGGGATCTGACCTTGTGACTCTAGGGCCAAAGTGTATGACATATAATAAATAATAAACCCATCTTGTGAGTGTTTTGTCTAATTCAGCTTCCTTTCCTCTGGGGCTGTGCAGTTCGACAGGAACAGGAGCTACGAAACGGAGGGGCAGTAGATAAGAAACTCACTACTCTAGCAGACCTCTTCAGACCTCCCATTGATCTGATGCACAAAGGCAGCTTTGAAACTGTAAGTTCTGAAATTTTGGTGCACTTCCTTCTGTGACGACCGTGTGCAGTGTGGAAGCCTCGTGTTAGACTGTATAGTGATAAATATTTGATGGGTTGCATATGGAAATGCTGATGACTTATTGAAGGACTTAATGTGGTCTACCATCATTAGTTGTATTTAAATGTCAGTGTGGCAAATCGCACTTGGTGAAAGACTTTAGTGCACAAGGGAGGCTGGTCAAAATGGAGAAACTGCATCCCTCAAAGTCTCTTTGTAGAGCATGATATAGAAAAAGCTGAAGGAAGATTGCTTTTGATAGGTGAGCAAGTACTTTGCAAGGGGCAATGTAGTTTGCAGCACAGCCCTGTTAAGAAGCTCAGGCAAAGTTATGTTAACAGCTAAGTAAAAGTATTTTGAATGTGGCTTTGTCATGAAGGCACAACTTTTATCTTCAGTTAGAGGCCTTGTTCTTGTATAAAATCATAGTGGTTGTCTTTTGCATCTGGTCATGATGGAAAAGTATCCGAGAGATTGTCTGCCTGAGAAGGGGACTGTTAGCTTTAAATAATTCCAGGTGTCACCTTTCCTTTCTGTGTAGGCATGTATGGATCTAGTCATAAGTTATGATTTGGACTTAACTAACGATTAGAGATACGCAAACTGATACATATTTTTATCTTTTGAGTCCATAATTTCTAGGTATTCTTAAGTTGCTTACCACTGAACTTCCACCTGGTCATCTTTAAGTAGCTGAGATTGAGGAAGGTGGTGATGATTATTGTATGATGACTTCATGAGAATGCAAATTGATCATCAAATGGTGCAATACAGATACTGCAAACAGTGCCAAAAATCTGACATAAATTTAAAAAAATGTACACTTTCTGGTATTGGTATTCACCTTTTTTCTGTAGTTCTACTGTTCCTGGTCTAATGAGATACTTTTCATTTCAAACTGATGCTCCTGAACTTCACCACAGTAAAAATCTTCAGCTTCTCAATTTCCTGACCCTTGCTACTTCCATTTTACGTTTTTGCTGTAGACTGCTGTACTGCTTTTAGCCTGGGACAGTGTCAGGTCTCCCGTGAATCCAGTGATCAGTCTCTTGGAATTCATCTTTAGCAAGCTACTGTTAGCTTCTTCTTTTTTTCTGTACACTTAGAGAAACATATATAAACTGTATAATAAATCAGAGATGTATATCACATTCCAAAGTACCAACAACTAAATACTGTCATTTTGATGCTTTATAGTTTAATCTAAGTGGGATTTATTGTTATTACTGGTATGTGATGTATTCTAACCTCTGGAGGGTATACGAGAACATTGTCAGTGTTTTGCCATGTACGTTTATCATAGAATCATTTATGATTTCTGACTTTATTCAGACTTAACAAGAGCGGTGGCATCTGGTCTTACTAAGGCTTTCATGTATCTTTGTTGCTCATCTTTTGTTGCTTCTCTTTTGGGTACTCTGGGGTTGATTTTGATAGTAAATAGATTTAGTTACTTCTGGTTTTCCAGAAGAAACCTGTTTTTCTTCAATTACAAAGAAACGCTGTTATCAGTAACATGCAAAAAGTTGCCATTTCATTTTAACTCGGTAATACTAGCTTTTAAGAGTAGCTGAGATTTAACTTTCATTGAAGAAAATTTTTCAAGTGTTGAATGGCATTGATGTATTTGGTATTAAACTTGCTATCTGTGAGAAAGGACTGTGCGTCATGTACAGAACAGGTCTTGATCACTGTATTTGTAAAGTGAAGTGTGTGATTAACTATATTACACCATAGAAGTGTGGTGAAAAATACTTGATACTGAAAATCTATAAAAGACTTTCTTTTAATTCTGTGGGCTTTTTGAACATGAGCTACTAGATACTAGTTATGTAGTGACTGATGGAATGGGTTATCCAAACCAGGGACAAGCAATGTCTTGCTGGCCCAAACTGCCTTTTTTCCCTACTAGAAAATGTCAGAGAAACTTTAAGAGCTTAAATACCCACTGTCACTAAAATAGTGTGTATTTGAGTAGAGTTGCATGGTTATACTATTAGGCTGTTGTCAGTTAAGATTGCAGAAGAGATTTGTAAGTGTCATTTCCTGACTGTAATATTGAGCTTTAATGTGTATTAAGTTTCAGAATTCTCTCCTTAATGTAGATTTTTGCACACCAAACATGCTTTTTATAGAACAGCATGGTTTTGTTTTAATCTCAAAGACTGCTCTCAAGAATTGCAGGTGTTTCATCCCTTCATACATATGATGTAGAGATATGATTTAGTTTGTTGGGGTACACTCCAGATTGGCTTAGTTTACGCTTGTTTAGGGAGGAGATCGTTCTGGTGCGTGCAGTTCTGTGCTCAGTGCTCTTCAGATTTCACTGCTTTTATGAAGTGACTAATGTTACAGAGTTTCAAGTCTGTCTGTATGAAGTGTCCTCTTTTTCCAAGTTGAACCTCTTTAGCTGCTCCTTGCTTCACAGCTAATTTTCATTGTATGTAGCAAGCAGCAATAAGTTTGGAAGCTAATCTAGTCCTTGTACACAAATGGTGCAATTATCTTTGCATAAGGTGCTTCTAGACTGGCTGTTTGCCTAAGCATAGCCTGCACAATCACCGTTGGCCCAGGAATGTCTCGTTGATGAAAGGATGTATGCCCTGGCTCGTATAAGAAGTGTAAGTGCAGCACAGATGGGCTATTTCTTGTTAAATAATCTCATTCTTGGACTTGGTCATCTGTTGTCTTGCAAACTAAACTATGCTTGATTAGCAGATGTCCAGAAGGTCATAAGATGGTTCCACTTCCTTGTTTCTCTCTGCTGACTTAAAGGAGCAGTGTCTTTCAACAGAACTGAGCAAGGAAGAACCACCAGAACATTTATAAATCATACATGGTTCAGAAAAGGCAAATGAGAGGAAAGGCAAGGAAGAACCACCAGAACATTTATAAATCATACATGATTCAGAAAAGGCAAATGAGAGGAAAGTTGTTATTTTGAGTAGTGCAAAAACTAGAGGTTATCCAGTACCGAGCATAAAATAAGACTTCTTCCACATATTGTCTAACAAGTTTGCTGGTTTCTTGCTATAAGTTGTCACAGTGATGAAAAATGTGACTGGGTAGAAAGAGTAAAGGTAACTTAGGACAGATTGGTTTTGTTTTGGTTTTGTGTTGGTCCCCTTGTACCTGAGATCTGCTACCTCTGTCTTTGAAAGTTCCTCCTCTGCTGATTGCTGAAAACTTGAACAGAGATTCTTGCGAAGAGTGATTGTTCTGTATTTACCCAGTGTGTGTGCTCTTTGAATGCCTGGTGGTGGCCTTTATAACTTGAAGGAGGAAGAGAAATAGGGGCCAGTTGTTATTTGAAACAGCAGATCTAAAGCCATGAGACAGCTTTCGGGATATGCAAGCCAAAACTTAAGCCTTCCCTTGTTCTTTTGTCACTTATCAAAATAACCCACCAATGTAATCCCCAAACACGCAGCATTTCTTCACCCCACACACTCAGAAGAAAAGCAGTAGCTGCATAAGAGCAGAGCTCTGTGTGTGTGAGATGGTGGCAATTTAACTGCATCCTTTTAAATGTTACATGTGAAGCCTGTTTGTTTTTTCTAGAAGGAAGTTAAAAGTAGTTTAAAAAGCTGCACCAGCTCTACAGGTGAAGACTCATCTTTGCAAACGTTCTGGGTGGAATTTCCTGCTTGCAACCTTGTGAGGACCTTAGCTGGGTGGAGGAGAGGTAGAGCTAGGTTTTCACTGATACTGAAAAATATACAAAGCAGGTGTAGAAGAGCAGGATGCACTTTCCAGCTTTCTAGTTACATGTTTTTGAGTCGTTTTAAAGTAGTACAGATTACTTTAGAACACAGGACTAAGGCAATCCAGTTGACTCAAACAACATGAGGATTTTTGTTCCCTTTAAAGTTGGGCAGTACCTGTAGGCCTCATCTTCAACTGATTTCATAGAGTTAGTTCTCAAAACCCACAGTTAGCTCAAAAGAAGTCTTTGAAGCCTAATGGCTGTATTTAAGACCCTTACTGGTTACTTGGGTGTCACCTGCCCCACTTTTCTCTCCTGATGACCAAATACTGGATTCTGACACTATAATATTAGTGGTAAGTAGTTAGCATGAGGTCCCTTGTGAGAACAGGAGGACTGTTCTGTGCTTCTACAGTCATTTTTTTCCTTTCAATAAAATAAAACTTGGCTCTGCAGGTCACTTGGCCATGCAGATTAATTTTGTAGAGTGACATTCTTCATTTCATGAAGCTAAGTGTGTGGGGTTCATGTGTCTGCCTGTCACACATAGGATGGGCTGACTATTCAAAAGTGCACTGGCTGAAATTCATTTTAAAAGTAAAAACTTTGGTTTGGGGAACAAAATATTGCCCAAAACAGCAAAATCTTGAGTAATATCCCCATTCCTTGAATTTGCTGTTAAGTACATTACCAGCAGGATGGTGAACACACTTACAAATAATTTTTTAATTTTTTTAAAAAGAAAGGGACTTCATATGCTAGTTCCAGTCTTTCCAGGCGGTAAGAGCATTCCT